AAACTCCAAGCCTCTCAGTGCTGTCTTTTTTGCAAATGTATAACTAACTCCTTCATTTGCCTGGTCTTTCAGACCTCCTGCTTAACATCAGGCTGTGACACAACCAGCTGGAAGCCAAGTTCTCGACCGAAGTGAAAAGGACTACTTACCTTCTGTGGAAGCTGCTGCTGAGCACTTTGCTGCTGTTGCATGACCTTGGGAATAGCAGCCGAGGGCTCCTGTGCTTTACCCTCTTTGAACTCGCTGACTTTGTGCCGGTAGTATGCATGGTAAGGATCATTGGGATTCAAGAAATTGAACTTAGGGTTATTTATTTCGTTCTGACGAATTCGAGCTTCAAATTCTGGACCATTTCTGGGGAGGAAAAAGATAAATTGTTTGTTTAGATGAATGGGCATCAACTCAAGTGTAAATGCCCGTTCCTTTCACAGTAAGACATGTTGATGCATCAGCCCCTCAGAAGACAATTTTCTCTCCTACGTGGAAGGAGTTTACCTCTCTCTAATTAACTCATACCCAACACAGCAGCCAGCTGTAAGCAGACAAGTTAAAGGCATTTGTCCCAATTTAGTCTATAAGGCTTCACAGTGAGTATTTCTTAAAACAGTTAAAAACTCACACTCACAAGTGTTCCACAATCTCATTTGGCTACATACAAACAGAAGGCCATTTACTGGATTGACAGTTTATTGGGTGAAGTTTACAAGTCACTAGACCAATTTTATTTGCTCTATTAACAAGCTCTTAAGACTAGTTTCATTTCCAGAAAGTTCATATAAAGAAAAAAGTAGGTAACCACCAGCCTGCACAGAGATCGACCACACCGGAGTGTTGCTTTTAGGAGAGCCCTAAGTTTTAGTTCAGGTAACGTCCATTCCTCCCATGCAAAGCGCAAGCCACTTATTTCAGGGTAGTTTGAGAAAGTTAGCAGCTACATGGCACGTTTCTCTTCATGCTCTCTGGATACCTCCAAGTCTTGTTTAGACACTCCGCCTCTTGCAAAAGAGGAGGTCTCTACAATACCAAAGGATAAGCACAGCCCCTTCCTTATCCTCAAAGGAAGCCCAACGCTCCTTGGCAGCACTTTAGAAATCAGCTAGGAAAAAAGGGTCTTTGACTAGACCAGCATCTAGTAATTGTCTTAAACTCACAGCACCAACCATTCTGGCTTAGTGAGGTGAAAGCACACAGCGTTCAGCCTGTCTGGATGCCATGAAGGTCAAGAATTCGCACAGCCAGCTGAGGGATACTTACCTCCCGTGCTACTTGTACACTGCCAGGAAGACCAAGATCTGGTCCCCTGAGACCTCACATAGAGGTAAGACAGCCAGAAATACTTAACGATTAAAAAGCAATAGAGGAAGATGGCCTAGCCAGCACTAACAGCTTGCACTTGCAGAATGATGACACTAGGCAAATGGAAGAAGCCCAAATGAGTAAAATTTATTCAACTTTTAGACTCCTCCCCTAAATTTGACATCTATACTCACGCTAATCGATCTGCTACGGTCAACAGGGGAAAAAATCCCAAACACATCACGGGCAGCTCATCTATCCTAAGAGAGGGTCAGACTACTCTCTGGAGGCACGCGCTTCCCTCCCTCTGGCTATCAAGGGAGAGAGATGACCGAGGCTCGGACAAACATGCATCCCAGCCTCTGGCGCAGTTTACCAAGCTGTACACAAGCAGGGATGGGACTTAACCTCAGGGCTCAACAAGCAAGCGAGCACCCCTGTACCGGAAAGTTCATCACCTACCATTTGCCTACACACTGTAAAGTGCAGTCATGGCTCCTCTTGGCTTCATCGCTCAGTGGAGCACCCGTCATGAGGCTCCCTTTCTACCGGGAATTTTGTTTCCCCTTCAGATCATTCGGAACAGGAACTGTCACCTGGTTATTGCAGCATGCACTATAGATTTTTCCAAGAACTTCATTTTATTTACTACCATAACTTTTCTAGCAAAGCGTGCCTTACACCTATTAAGTAGAATATTGTCGTTTCTTTTCCACAGTCTCACTGGTATAGACTCAATCCTTAAAATCCTTTGTGTAAATTCATAGGACTGTGACCTGCTTCAGTTTCTGGAGCTGCGCAGACATTAGCACTTGAAGAGGAGAAGCATGAAAATCCCAGGAAGCACAAGACACCACCAGTGTCGTTTACCTGGCTACGAAGCTGGCAGTCTTGTCCACAATATTCCTGACCTCTGGCGGAGGGTAAATAATTCCTACCACAGGCTTGGCTGGTGCTGCTTCCTCTTTTGGCTCCTCTTCTGGCTGTAATAAAAATGTACGTATACATACATATACAGTCCTCTGTACCACTGCCTCACAACTATAGCAACTATTCAAGAGGTGAAGAGGTGGTGGCACAGGAAGACATCTTTCATTGCGGTGTTTGCAATCAGTCAAGATACTAAATTCAAGTAGCCTAAATCAAAGCTGAAAACAAGAGAAGGAACTTCAAATAATATTGAGTAACGTGCTATATACCAGCATCAGGGGGTGAAAAACAGCCCAGCAGGCTGCAAACCCAGACTAGGTTTATTTTCAGGTGGTTGAGTTGGAAAATTCATCTCCCTTCTCTCTCAACTTCCTCATCTACATTGGGAGTAACAATCCTAACACACCTTAACAAATTGTTCTGCAATCCTGTGCTTAACGAAGGCCATGTAAGAATTAAGTACTCCAAACAGCGACCCAAACGGCAGACAGCACTGTCTATCCTCCTCCCCAGCCCCCAAAACATTTAATATTTCCCGACACAGAGATCTGGTTTAACAATCTGAATCACCAGTCCCACAAACTGATTGCTCGGCTTCTCAGGGTGGGAGACAATGTTTGTCTGCTCGGCAAGGGCACCGGCTGCAGGGGCAGGCACAGCAAGGCGACGAGGAAGGCCACTCCATGGGAACCAAAACAAGTCCTCCCGGCATTTTTACTATCTCAGCCTTGACCCCAAGTAGGTTTATAAATACCGAGACAAGAGGCAGGGTAGGGGAATGCCTACAAAAACACATCTAGGAATAACTCAGCAGTGCTAAACAGGTTTGGAAGTTGTGAACGTTCCTAGAGGCCTGTGGGACTGCAAGAAACTAGAATGATTCTGAATTATTATCTCCACATTAAATAAAATATAGTTTTTAATCCTATTGTGGTTGCATCAAAAGCTGTTTCATAGAGAAAAGCTCTGCAGGGCATTTTTCTCACTGATATCATAGGAAGAGCTGAACTACAATCCCAGAACCCTCCCTGAGGGCGGCTTTATCTTCCAGTAAGACCAGAAGCCGCTCTTTGCAGGATACTAAAGATGTCTCTCCTCCTTCCTCACCGAGCAACTTTCACAAGAAACGCCGTTATAAAAGAGAACAGGTGTCTGGGAAACGTTTATAATCTGAACAGGGACAGTCAGGGAAATTTTAAAATACCAGTAAAGCTACCAGCTCTGCTCAATCCACGGGGACTCCAAGGCAGAAAACTCTCTCGAGTCAAATACAACCTTGATAAAGCGTGTTAAGAAAAAGCCACCATAAACACGTTTATTTTTCATTCCCGCTCCCTCTGAACAACATCATCTTGAGGAGCTGAAGGACAAGGCGACACCCCGCTTGAGAGATGTTTTTATTTAACCGCGATGCTGAGTTGCCTGGCTAACATACACGCGCGAAAGACCCTGGGTGTTTGTCGGGAGCCACGACTTTCCTCCCGATTGTGCTAGCGACACCAAACCACCCGGGATCTTCACTCAGACCCGCTCCCTGCGCGGCCTTGCTGTACAGCTGGGCAAGTGCTGACGCTGGGGTGTGAAACCGCTGGAAGGGCTGGGGAAGGAACGGCTGCCTCCCCTTTAGGGAAGGCCGGGAAGAGGCTCCGGCAGAGAATATGGCCGAGACAGACGGGGACGGGGGAAGGTACCGCGAAACACGGGGCTGCTGCGCGCTCTCAAGCGCACCGGGGCGGCTGCGTTTAATCCCTTCACACGTTCCTGCCGGCGGCAGGG